AAAAAAAAAAAAAAAAAAGACTAGCTTGGGAGAAACTGAGGCACAAAATCCAAAAAAGAAGTGAGAAGATAATTATAAAACAGTGATCTCCTTTATCACCTCCCTAGTTTCAGTCTCTTTACTAGAAAACCACAGTTTTGTTTGTTTGTTTGTTTGTTTGTTTTTTTGAGACGGAGTCTTGCTCTGTTGCCAAGCTGGAGTGCAGTGGTGTGACCTCGGCTCACTGCAACCTCTGCTGCCTGGGTTCAAGCGATTCCCCTGCCTCAGCCTCCCGAGTAGCTGGGACTACAAGTGTGAATCACCATGCCTGGCTAATTTTTTTTTCTTACTTTTTCCTACATTCCAAAATTTTTAAATATTTTAGTAGAGACGGGGTTTCACCATGTTGGCCAGGATGGTCTTGATCTCCTTACCTCGTGATCCGCCCACCTCAGCCTCCCAGAGGGCTGGGATTATAGGCGTGAGCCACTGTGCCTGGCCAAAAGCCAGTTTTATGTTGGAGTTGATTCTCTAGTGTTGGGGCTTCTGGGGGCAGGGATATGACTTTAGTAGTAGAAGCAGTAATAATAATAGCTAATATTTATTGAGTGCCAGGCTCTGTGCATTATTTCATCCATTCTCAACCCTAGAAAACAGATAGTTATAGCCCCTTTTGGTGAGTGTGAAAACTGAGACACTCAAATATTTAGGGAAGGGCCTGAGTTTTGTAGGTGGCAGGCTGCAGAGCCAGGACTCAGGTGCTTGTGTTCCCTGCCTGAGCTCTGTGTATCACCACTGTAACTCTTGCACATATAGGGCAGCCACTAGGGTTGGGGATGCTTTGCTGAAAGGACGGTACTATTTATCAACTTTCTCTCTGTCCCATAGACAGTGCTGAAGTCACCCCGCCTGTCCTCTCTGTGATGGGGGAGGCCACCCCAGTGAGCATCGAGCCGTAAGTGCAGCCCTGCCCCTGGCCCAGGGTGTGCAGGTGGCCACACTGATGCAGTGTGTGCAGGTGGGCCCTGGGAGTGACAGGAGGGCTCTGTTGGGCCTGCAGAGGGTTGGGAGGGCCTCCATGGGCTTTCGTATTTGGCCCTGGGATTTGCTATCCCTGCCCTGCCTCTGTGGGGAAGTTACAGGGAAGTACAAGGACCGGCTCAGCTTGAACTTGTCTCTAGGAGAGTTGGAAGGGGGGTCCAGAGGCTCTTTCCCATCTATAAACCTGGAGCTGCTTCTCCCCTCTCCAATCTCTGGGTTTTGCCTTTCTGGTAGTGGCTGCCCTCCCAATCCCCTAGAAGCCATACCCACTGCACCTAGCTGAGGCCTTGCTCTGCCGGCTCCCCCTCACCTTCTTCCCACCCTGAGGGATAATCAAGTCCATTGTCCCCGCAAAGTGAGGCCTCACCTCCTCCTGCCCTTTTTACTCCTCTAGACGGATCAATGTGGGCTCCCGGTTCCAGGCGGAAATCCCCTTGATGAGGGACCGTGCCCTGGCAGCTGCAGACCCCCACAAGGCCGACTTGGTGTGGCAGCCATGGGAGGACCTAGAGAGCAGCCGGGAGAAGCAGAGACAAGGTGAGGAGGGGCCTGGAGGCAACAAGTGAGGGCAGGCTGGTCCACACTTGAGTGGGCCAGGCCCCGCCCTGCCCCGCCCCGCACTGAAAGTAGTTTCCTCCCTTCCTCACGCTCCTACGGATCCAGTTGAAGACCTGCTGACAGCTGCCTGCTCCAGCATTTTCCCTGGTGCTGGCACCAACCAGGAGCTGGCCCTGCACTGTCTGCACGAGTCCAGGGGAGACATCTTGGTGAGAAGGCACCCTCAGCAGAGGGAGGGCCCCTCGAGGGGTTGGCTTGGATCCATGTCTGCCGCTCAGGAGCTAGGCCTGCTGGCGTGTACATTTGAGGCCAGTAGAGGGTCTGACCAAGGAATGGGCTGTAGGGGCTTGGCCCAAGGGAGCCCTAGTTTCAGACCCCAGGTTTTGCTTTGCAGTATCCCCCTGTCCATGCCCATCCCTGATTCTGGGTCACTGGACTCAGACTGGACGGTTGCTGAGGGTCTTCCCTAGCAGTGCTGCTTCCCTTGGGGCCATGGCTCTCTTAAGAGGCCCTGAGGCCTGGTTTCTGGGCAGCCCCACCCCTATGACCTCACCACCCCACCGGACCCAACCCCTTATCTCTCAGTAGTTAAGGTGGGGCAAGAGTAAGTGCCCACTCTACTCAGGAATTTAACAGAGCCTAGGATGTATCCACCACTGATACCCCTGCCAGGGCCCTGACCCTTCCCTCTCTTTCCCTCCAGGAAACGCTGAATAAGCTGCTCCTCAAGAAGCCCCTGCGGCCCCACAACCATCCACTGGCAACTTATCACTACACAGGTGGGCCTGGCAGCGGTGGGCATGGTGTCCAGAGCCTCGAGGTCTCCAGCATCATTGGGGCCCTGCTCAGTGCTGAGTCACAGCCCTGGGTGGGGGCAGGGAGGAAGAGGGTAGAGAAGCCAAGAGTCAGAATGAGAGAACAGCCACCAAAGCTGGGGTAGCTCTCCAGGGGCTTCCTGTACCCTGGGGGGGAAGGGAGAAGGGAGTGGGCAGGTGGGAGCCCATCCAGGCAAAAAGGCCCAGGTCACAGGGACAGGAACCCAGGGAGAGCCATCCAAATTGGCATCAGGTACCTGGAACTTAGCCCCGGGAGTGCATGTCCTGTTCTGGGCAATGTACTTTAAGAAGGACATGGACTGAGTCACATAATCCTTGCGGCCGTTGTTCTCTATCCATGTTAGTGCTACATTTCATCTGTACCAGGCAGAGCACCAAGGGTTTCACATGCATTATCTCATTTAGTCCTTACCACAGCTGGTGAACCAGGCAGTATTAGTTTCCATTTCACAAGCAAGGGAGCGAGGCTCTGAGTGACATGGCTAGTGTGTGGTGGAAGCGGGATGAGGAGCCAGCTCTGATGCCTGCAGAGACCATGGGCAAATGGTCTCATGCTTATCTGCTGGTCAGAAATGTCCTGCAGTGACCAAGGCTCTTCCCAGCTCACTCCCTGGCTGCCTCTTTGCCCCACAGGCTCCGACCAGTGGAAGATGGCCGAGAGGAAGCTGTTCAACAAAGGCATTGCCATCTACAAGAAGGATTTCTTCCTGGTGCAGAAGCTGGTGAGCTGGGCTCTGTTTCAGGGGCAAATGAGGGCCCGGAGCTGCCTGTGTGACTTCGGGGCGCTCTCTGCCTGTGCCAAGCCCTCTTAAAAAGCAGTCAGGTCTGCAACTTCATCAGAGAACATGAACCAGAAGGGGAAAAAAAAAAGAAAAAAGCAGTCAGGTCAATGCTATTGGATAGCCTCAGAGAGAATTTTCTAGACAATACAAGAAAGAGAAAGATTAGGCCTCTTTTCCCTATTGCTTCTAAGCACCCTTTCCCCACTTCAGGCTCTGGGGTCTCAATCCAGAAAGAGGCTTAAGGGCATCAGACTTAAAATAAGCAGGAGGAAGACGGGGAGAAGCGTGGCAAGTAGAGGTGAACCATTCCCCAGGGGAAGGTGGGAGGGGAGGGCACCCTGGGGTGAGGGGAACTGAGAGCCAGCAAGTTACCTGCGTAGCTGATCTGGGAGACCTTTACCTGCTTCCTTTGACCCAGAGTTGCCTTCCAGTAACTCAGCTGTTCAAGCCACCTTCCCTAGATTTATTTTGTCCTCTCTCCATATTCTTCTGGAAGAGCAGATGCTTTGCTAATCCAAGCAATTGCATCTTTCCAGCCCTGTATCACAAAATCTGGGCTGTAGGGAGGGAGTTGTATGGACCACCAAGGGAAAAGAGCTTTTCTTTTTTTTTTTTAGATGGAGTCTCGCTCTGTCACCCAAGCTGGAGTGCATTGATGTGACAGCTCACTGGAACCTTCGCCTCCTGGGTTCAAGCAATTCTCCTGCCTTAGCCTCCTGAGTAGCTGGGATTACAGGCGCTTGTCACCACGCCCAGCTGATTTTTGTATTTTTAGTAGAGGCAGGGTTTCATCATGTTGGCCAGGCTGGTCTTGAATTCCTGACCTCAGGTGATTCACCTGCCTCAGCCTCCCAAAGTGCTGGGATTACAGGCGTGAGCCACCATACCTGGGAAAAGAGCTTCTAAGAGCATGCCTTTTCCTCCTGGGATTGTAGATTGTGTTGGGAACAGCCCTGGGGACTGGACAAAAGTGCTGCTGATTAAGTTGCCTATGAGGGCCCTGTTGTGAGAAGTCCTTTGCTCTGTTTTGGTAATACTCTATTCCCTGATTGGGCAATACTGATGGGAAGTACATGCCTAAGGACATGCCCGTGAACTTCACTGAGGACCCTAACATGCCTAATGAAAAGAGCAGACCTTTAGTCAAACAAAGGGTCAGAGAGAATTGACAGTAAATTTGTAAACAGTCTAATTAATACGTGTGACTTGGCCATTCCTGTGAGATGAAACACAAAGGGCCTGCACTGACCTCTGGCCTCTCTGGACAGGAAGTCCCAGCCCAGCGGTGGCTGAGCAATGTGGGAGCTTCTGGGGTGGTGACAGGGAAAACAGCCTCTGCATGTGGGAAAGTAGCCCGAAAACTAAACCCAGTGGCCAAATAGATTTATGCAATGGAACAGCTAGAATTTCAGAGCTTGAGTGGCCCCTGGAGATCATCTAGTCTTACTCACCCCATTTGCTATTTACACATGAAAAAACTGAAATTAGCAAAGTGAGTGGCTTGCCTAAGCTCAAGTACTCATGTGGTGGCAGAGTCAGGAGTAAGACTTCGGCCTTTCGCTTCCTCCTCAGGTTTTCCAGGGCTTTCTTGTGAGTTTCCCTTGAATTCCTCCCCTGACAGGCAGGGACACTGTGACATTTCTGTATGCTCACTTGTCAGACACTGCTCCCTGGAGAGAAATGAAATTGTTTGCCTGGATTAATGAAAGGCGTCTGTGTGGCCAGGTCAGGGCTTGCTTTGAATGTAGATGGTGCCCAGACCTTTTCCCTGAACTTTTCAGTTTGAAAAATTTCAAACTTAGAGGAAAATGGAAAGAACAGTAGAAATGAACACCCATCTACCCCTCACTTAGATTTAGCAATCGTTAGCATTTGCTACATTTGCTTTCTTGTTCTCTATATCTAAACATAGGCACACACATAGACAGCACTTTTGTTCTCTGAGTCAGCTCATTGAAAGTAAGTTGTAGTCATCCTGTCATGTGACTAAAAGATTTCAGCATGTATCTCCTAAAAACCAAGATACTCTACAAAACCACAGTACCATTAGCACACCCAAGAAATTTAACCTGATAAAATAATTGAGGCCACATGAGGTGGCTCATGCCTGTAATCCCAGCATTATGGGAGGCAGAGGCAGGCAGATCATGAGACCAGGAGTTTGAGGCCAGGCTGGCCAACATGGCGAAACCCCGTGTCTACTAAAAAACAAAAAACAAAAAAACTAGCCAGTTGTGATGGCACATACCTATAATCCCAGCTACTCAGGAAGCTGAGGCATGAGAATCATTTGAACCTGGGAGGTGGAGGTTGCAGTGAGCTGAGATCTCGTCACTGCACTCCAGCCTGAGTGACAGAGTGAGATTCTGTCTCAAAAACAAAAACAAAAAAAGTGCAGTGATGCCCTCTGATATGCAATCCATATTGCCGTCTCCCAGGTGGGTCCAGTGTTGTCCTTTATAGCTTGTTTTATTTATTTACTTATTTTAAATAGTGCTGAAGCATTGATTAATTGAATTGATCAGTGGTTTGTTGCATAGCAGGCATTGGAAAAATGCTTGTATTTCCTGGGTTGGATGGGTTTCATTTTGGCTTGAGGTTAAGCGAAAGATGCAGGGACGAGAAAGTCTGGATTCTCCCCAGGCAGATGAGCCAAACCAGGGGTTTCTGACCTCAGTTTTGACTTCAAACCAGATCCAGACCAAGACCGTGGCCCAGTGCGTGGAGTTCTACTACACCTACAAGAAGCAGGTGAAAATCGGCCGCAACGGGACTCTAACCTTTGGGGATGTGGATACGAGCGATGAGAAGTCGGCGCAGGAAGAGGTTGAAGTGGATATTAAGGTAACTCCTTTTCCAGCCTTGGCTGCATAGTGCCTGGGCTGGGTCTGGGGCCAGGGCTGAGCTGGGAGCCGGGGCCCAAGCTCTCCAGGACCCTGCAGAGGACATGCTGAGGACGACAATGTCCCTGACAGCCCCAAGGAGCCCCAGACTGCTGTGTTCCCCTCTCTATACTGCTGGTATCAGAGTAATGATACATTGTGTTGATACACAGGGTAATTTTCCCCATAGGATTCACACTAGCATCAACTTCCTGTCTCCACATAGCAGACCTCTAACACTGTTTCTCAAACCTCAGTCATTCTTGTATCCCCTTTTTGATTTCTGCTATATCTGCATCCTACTATGTGTCGCCATTACAATTTTTGTCATATTCACATACTACTTGTGCCATTACTTAATATTTCCCTTTAAATCGACTCATTTTTTACTCAAAATGGAAGCTATATATCATAATCATAAATAGAAAACCAGTATTGTTTGCTATAAATAGAAGGTACTGGTAAAAGTTAATATATATAAAAACCAGTGTTATTAAATTTGAGCTAGATGCTGCGTTACCCGCCAAGGCTGAGACTGAGCCCTGACCTCACTTTGTTAAAGAAATTATCAAGTCTAGAGATGTGTAA